AAAAAAAAAACAGTTGTTTTTTTGAAGGACTATCAATTACTTAGTCTGGTTTAAGGAGTTTTTTTTGCTATAGTTTCTTAACAGCTTATTATCTTTTACTTTTTTATATTCCTAAATACCGAGAAAAGCAAAAAAAGGTGAGAAAAAGAGTAGGTCAAAAAAATTTAACTGTTGCACCTGAACAACCCAAATTGGTAAATGTAAGCCATTCGCAGCGCTTTGATGGGGCTTGAAAATAGATGGTCGTTATATAATACAATGAACTTAGTAACAAACCTAAAATTAAACATATTTCTTTTGCAACTTTTTTGAAACGTTTAAAAATACAAGAAGAAGTAAAAATTTTTAAGTGAAATGTATTCTTCAGCTTATTTCAAAATTGCCAAAACAATTTTACCATTGTTGCTGTTGGTGAGTATGAGAAAAAAGAAAAAACGAACAAAAGACAGTATCGGCTAACCAATATTTGAGACCAATAGGGCAGTAAAAAAGGAGATAAGTAATAGTCGACAATTATACGGCAGAATTCTATTAAACATCAACGATGTTGTAAATAGCGATGTAATAATTGTTGCAGTAAAAGTCAAAACAGTTTCACAGATCAGTGTTATACGCAAATATGGTGTACCAAAATAAACTTGGTCAATTACACTACACATCGTTTGCATTTCAAAAATGCTGATATTCATCGTTTTCAGCCAATCGATACTGTTCAATTTGCTCTCTGAACAACAATTTGAACCCACAAAATGTTAAAAAATGCTGCAAAAAAGAAAGACAAGACTTAAAACTATTTAAAAGTTACAGTTTACAACAGAGTAATTTAAAGTTCAATTATTGCAGTTGATATGCGACAGTTTGATACGTCATTGTTAACAGCTTTACAGTATTTAAAGTGATTAGGCAGACATATTTTTTTGAGCACATAATTGAACACAGAGTAATAAATAGCAAAATTTAACGCATTTTATTCTAGAAAAAAGTTTGTCTTAGATTCTTCTATTGAGAAAACATCAGGAAAATTTGGGAAGTTTTTAAATATTAGTGATTTTACAAAGAAAAAACTAAAAAAGAGTTTCTAAATTAGACTGATGAAAATAGTTTATGACAACTGTTTGAATAATTGAATTTTTAT